CAAAAAAAAATATAATTTTAAAGAGAGGGCTGTACTTGATGGATTGACAGCAAATTATCAATAGTTGCCTTGAGTTTTGTAATGAATAACCGTAAATCTTCCCTTTCTGTGATATTCAATCTGCTCCTTTTTTTTTTGTTAATAAGTTTGTAACGGCACTAAAACTTTTTTCGACGAGATATGACGAGGGAAACGCTATCAGAAGCTTTTACACAATTCTCCACAATCCAGGATATTTTTCGGGTATTTCTGCCTGCAGCTAAAATTTTTGATACCCTCTTTTAAATGTCACTTTCAGCTCCTCATTAGTGCTAAGCTCGAGTAGCTCCTCTTGTAATATCACATTCTCCACTTTCGTTTCATCAAATGGATCCATGGTGGTATTTCCATCGACAGAATATCTTCAAATCTGAATTTAAAACCATCATGCAGGGCAATCAAATGTTGAACGTATGTCTGAATATCTTTATCAAGGCATTCTACCTGCGACAAGTTTGAAAACTGTGAAAATTCGCGCCGACCAATATTTTCCTTCATAAATTTTAATTTACCAAGAAAAGCTGAAATTACACTCTTTGTTTTTATTAAATTGAGGCTGTCCCCTTGTAATTGTAAGTTGAGGTCACTAAATTTTTTGAACAAATCTGTCAAATACGCGATGTCTGCTTTAACATTAATCAAGTTTTTTTTTAAATCAGGATCTTTACTTTCCAAAAACTCTAAAACTGAGTCAAAGAGTAAATAAAATGTTGATAAACATGCATCTTTCGACAACCAGCGTACTTCGGTATGTAACAGCAATCGTTGGAAGTCTTCATCATTTTCACTGCACAATTGTGCAAATAAATGCGTATTCAATGCATTGCTTCTTATTTTGTTAACTGTATTAATCACAAATTGAAGCGATTGGTGCAATCTATCACTCAAATTTTTCGCTACTAGATGTTGTCGGTGGATAACACAGTGAATCGCAATAACCTCTCGTATAATTCTTTTAAGATGGCTTATAAAGCCACAATATCGTCCGACCATGGTAGCAGCTCCATTTGTTGCTACAAAAATAACGTTTGTCAATGGAATTGATTTGTCTTTAAAAAAATCACTCAAAACATTAAATATTGATTCACCTTTAGTGTCCATCCTCAAAGTTTTCGCGAATAGTAGCTCTTCATGAATTTCTTCGCCCATAACAAATCGAAAAATGCCAATAATAATGCTTCATTGCCAGGTAAAGATGACTCGTCCAGTTAAATAGAAAAATGAGTTGTTCGTAGATAATCACTCAAGAAACTTTCAACATCAGAGCTTATTTCATCAATACGTCTTTGTACAGTGTTGTTACTCAAAGGAATTATTTTGAGTATGTCAAATGAAGATTTGTGCAGAACAGTTTTTAAAACCTCTTCAACAGCAGGTAAAATTAACTGTTCTCCAATGGTGTGCGGTTTTCTAGATTTTGCGATAAGTAATGAGATATTGTAAGATGCCCGCAAGCCATCATGGTTGCTTTCAGACGTTGAAGAGAACCTTTCCAGAATTAGCTCTGAATCTCAGAAGAGCTTGGAAGTTTCCCACATTTTCAACAGAAGAAACTTCCAAATTAAGCTTCCTGTAGTCTCTATGAGCTCAAAGTGGTATACCCTGCGGACCACAAAACAATACAGTTTCAATTATTGGTAGGACTGCGTTCCTATTTTCAATAATTTGTTGTTGCAGAGCTGTTTTTTAGCATCTGGACAGTCGGTATCGTGCCTTTATAAGTTTTTAACCAATCGTCAGCCTTAAGTATAAATCGCTTATGGTATTCACTATTTTCGTGGTCATTGAATTGTTCCACCGCGTCCTTTCAACGTCTGAAAGGCTTTTTTACTAACACACCCAAAGTCTGGAAGCCTCTTCCTGCTCCAAAAGGCGAAAACAATGAACGATATTTGCAGTAAGCTCCGTCTTTATACTTGGAGTAGAGCAGCCATTTCCACCTTGACAACCATCCATACTGAAATTTAAGGTTTCGGGCTCCAGATCCCGGAAATTTTAAAATACATTCAGGAATCAAAGGGTTCTCTATTATCACTCTTCTTTATTCATCGCCAATCTGTAAAAGAATTTGCACTTATTTAGTACATCAGTTATATTACCCCCGTGAAGCTCCACTAGTTAATTATTAATTTATTTACGATAGATCAACTATTTGTTTATGATCAGTAAATATAAAATGTTACCTGTGCTTTCAAAATTATACCAATATCAATGGCTTCTCCTGATGGACCTGGCTGTGCAACTGGCATGACTGAATAAGTTGAAAGTACACATAAACTTTCATTCACAGAAGCTTGATTTTCTATAGTGTCTTTCTTGTTGTTAGTGGCCTCCGATCTGATTTTCTTAAAAAACTTTAATATTGAAGTGCCACGTTTACGTTTTCCTTCATCATTAGGGTTCATATTGAAATTTAAAAAAAATATGAAAAAAGAACTCACTAGCCTAGTAAACGCCGCACTTGACTTGATCGTGGAAACGCACAATATTTGAAAAAGGTTGGAACAAGGCAGCACAAGTGTAGCGAGCAGAACTGACTGACTGACTCTGCCTCACACGCATACTCGCACACTCGCACATACACACACACACACCACACACACCACACACACGCACACACACACACACACACACACACACACACACACACGCACGCACGCACGCACGCACGCACGCACGCACGCACGCACGCACGCACGCACGCACACACGCACGCACGCACGCACGCACGCACGCACGCACGCACGCACGCACGCACGCACGCACGCACGCACGCACGCACGCACGCACGCACGCACGCACGCACGCACGCACGCACGCACGCACGCACGCACGCACGCACGCACGCACGCACGCACGCACGCACGCACGCACGCACGCACGCACGCACGCACGCACGCACGCACGCACGCACGCACGCACGCACGCACGCACGCACGCACGCACGCACGCACACACACACGTACACACACACGTACACACACACGTACACACACATACACACACATACACACACATACACATACACACACACACACACACACACACACACACACACACACACACACACACACACACACACACACACACACACACACACACACACACACACACACACACACACACACACACACACACTACTAGGCGACTGGAGGGACCTTCTCCCCCAGGTGGTTAGTCGTCAGTTGCTCAGTCGTTGTCTGATTCGCGTGATGCGCTCTGTCGGGTATTCTGAAAGAGAATGCTGAAAGAGAACGCTGAAAGAAAATCTTAAATCTATGCGACTCTTGAATTTTACACCCAAGGGTCGGTCACTCGCCGCCATAATCCAGCACCTTGCGTGGTCTGGCATGTCTTCTATAGTCCGCTTTTTCATACTCTGTGAGTTCTCTAATCTCAATGTTTGGGCGAGTCCTTAGTTTTTCGAAGGTGTTCGTGGTCTTCTTATGTATGAGGTCTAGTACCCTTTTGGATTCTAGATCCCTCCTGATTACGTCGTTTCTTGTGTATCTATAGGCATTTGAGGCCCATCTCAAGCTGATGTTCTGCTGGCTTTGAATCTTCTTTGTTAGTTCTACAGGTGTATCCCCATGCCGTCGAGGCGTACATGAGGCTAGGTATAATAACTGCCTGTATGAACCCCATTTTTGTCTGCAGTTTGCTCTTGCATCCTATTAGGCAGTTTAGTCTTGATCTTGCTTGTTTCGTTTTCTTAACTACCATGTCCACGTGTTTGGTGAAGGTGAGTCCTTTGTCCATTATTACTCCTAGGTACCTTGGCTGAATCGGTCCATGGGATGTCCTGTCCATTCATCGTAACTACTTCTCCTGTGAGGTGATGCCTCTTCTTGAACAGCACAGCCTGTGTCTTCTCTGCGTTGATCTTTATCTTCCATCTAATGCACCATTCTTCTATGTCTTCCGCTGCGTCTTGTAGGGGGCTTTCTTTGCAGATAGGTGCTTGAGGATGCCTCTCACCTCGTCCGGAGATGAGAGCTCAAAGTATCCTATTTCGGGTTAATTCTTGAAGTCCTCTTCCACTTCTTCCGTGAAGTCAACATCTTCATCTTCGTGTTTGTTGTTAGAACACTGAGATTCTAGGGAAGTGGCGAAGGCCTCGGCTTTCTCCTCAGTGGTATTTACCAGACCATTTGCTCCGTGCAAAGTTGGTACTGGTTTTCTTTCGTCTCTTAGTATTCTCTGTAGTTTCCATAATCCAGGCTTCTGGGAAGTCGAGTTTTCCGAGAAAATCTTCCCAGCTTCTGTCAGAATGCAGTTTCAGTTCCTCGCTGAGACAGACTCTGGAGTGAGCGTCGCGATAACATACTTCAGAACCAGACGGGTCACGTGACTTACTGTTGGCGAGAAGACGGTTCCACTCGCAAAAGATGGAAAGATCGCTGGTAAGAGAGGGAATTTTGAATCTTGCTTGGGTGTTTATAACTTTTAAAAAGCAAAATCTTTTACTTTTTTATTTTTTTAAATTGTTTCATTTTTTTTTATTTCTTCTTATCAATGAGTGGGGAAGGGGTTACGTCCCCAATAACCCTCCTCGTTACGCGCTTGTGTGATGTTCTAATTTACTTGATATTTTGCCGAAAATAACAGAGAACATAATTAAATCGAATATTAATTGTATTATAATTTTAATAATTTTTTTGTTTTATAATAGAAAACCATACCTGAATGGTATTAACCGAGATATGGCACCACAATCTCAGTTTTGGCCAAAGTTAGATATTGAATTTTGTTCTTGTTAATACAAGGCATAAAGTTTAATCATTGATTTTTTTTAACTAATCCAAGATAACACTTAAAATGCACAAAACATTCTTATACAGTTTCTTATCTCTAAAATCAGATATATTGTATCATAAATAGAGTGACTATTGTCAAATTATTAAGAATATTATCTTTAATTACGCAGATTATATCGTGCATAAGTATACAATTATCTAGAACATTAAAATCTCAAGAACCCTTTTTAAGATTTTTCGTTTGATAATAAAAAAAAAATGATTGGAAGGTAATAATATATAAATCGATGAATAAACTAAAATTTCATTATTCAAAATGAATTCTCACTTAGCAATCTTGAGTGTTTTTATTTGCTTTACAACAGCTCTTCCTTTTGTGGAAAATGGTAAGTTAAATAAATAGCATAGTAAATTAGTCGAGTAAAGAGTAAACATTAATTAATACATTCAGACCAGTTTAGTTTAAGTGTAAGCAACAAGAAGTGGTGTCAAAAGAAACAGGTAAACTACTGCACATAAAACACACGCGTCCAGACTTAGTTTAGTCGCTAACTGCACGTGGTGAGGAACTCTACTCGGATAGATCCAGCTGACTAAACTACTCTACTAAATTTTACTGTTTGCACTCACTAAATTACTCGCTAGTCGTGTCTGAACTAGGCTTGACTCATGTTTGATAATACTGCATTTTTTTTTATTTTTGCAGACCCACAACTTTTGAAGCTTAAAGAGGGGACAAAATATTATTTTGTAAATCTTCAATTTGTAAGTATATATTTTACAAGTTGTATATTAAGTTTTTATAATGTAAAAGTGTTGTTTTAATTCCTATTTATACAAGCAATGGAACAATTTAAATATTTATAGTAAAATTAGTACACGTTGTAGATTCAGAAAAACATTAAAAATTTTGGTTTGTCTATGAGCATAATCACATTTCTAAATGAGGAATAGTTAGTCCACCGGAATTAGGTTTTTATGGCTTTCAATATTTTAACAAAATGTTTATTAAAACTTTGTGCTTTTACTACACCGTCTTCTGACATTTTTTGTACAGTTCATCAAATTTCTAGAGGTGTTCCACGCCCAGACAGAGAACGCGCTACGTGTGACTAAGATAGCTATTGTACAGTCTGCTAAACAAGTTAATTTAAATAGTTTTGAATATTTTTAGGTAATTAAATTTTAAAAGTGTGGAATAGTTTAGGGATTAAATTGGTCTGATTGGACTTTCTTAGAACGTTTTTAAAAGCAGCTAAAGATAGTATGTAGAATTGAAAATAATTATTATGCCATGAAAGGTGTTTTGGAATTCCTTCAACCTTTTAAAATTGAGTCAGAAAATATAAATTTTATAGGATAGCGGAAAATACCTATAATTTTTTTGTAGGCCTTTGTAAATCGTGGAAATAGTTTATATTTTATTTCTACCTTATTAAGGAAAATGGTACCTATTATTAATAACGGTTGTTTCTGAAACATTACTAAAATTTTCGAAATTTTGTTTTTCTACAAAATAATAAACTATACTATTTAGAAAAAAAATTATTTCTCTTATAATTTTATAAAAAATAACAGGGGAATATTTACATTTCTTGATCTATTAAACAAAACGATAAATTATCTCGACGAATGACACCATGTTCTAGTACGGAAGTTAGCTTTACATTTTTGTTGGTGGTTTCATGGGTTTCATATCAATTTTTTGTAATTGTAGTTTACACGTACATATACCTCTTAACACTTGTTTGCTTTATTAAAAAAGTGTGTTGTTGTGATTTACGTCGAAATAAATCAAAAACAACTTGAAACCCCATATAAAATCAAAAAGGAGAAACGGAAAAAAATTGAGCCTGTAAATGAACACAACTCAGAAACAAAAATAGCTATCTAATAATAAAAAAATAAAATTTGATTCTTGTGCATATTCGTTGTAAAAAGATAATACTTTTTTGATCTTAGGTACAGATATAATTTTAATGTTCTTCCGAAAAACTTTCTTCAGTTTCCATATCAGATTTAAAATCAGTCTCACTGTCACTGTTTAAGTTAATTATAAATCTATCAGTTGCCTCATCCAAAGTAACTTCTCTGTCATAAAATTTAGATTCTCACATTTTAGCATTATTACAACGAGATTGCCACTCCTCTTTAGAAAACGTATCAAAAAAGTCTTCACACAACAGTTGTACGTCTTGCCTCTTAAATGTAGTGTTGTTACTAGCTACATATTGTTTCAATGATGCCCACACTAATTCGATCGGATTAAGATCGGGATGATACCGTGGCAAACGCAAACAACTAAAACCATGTTCATTTATCATTTCTTCAATTGCATACCTCTTAAATCGTGACTTATGCAATAGCACTAAACTGTATAATTGCGTTTTGAGTATATCCTCTTCGTAAGCAATATTATGATTCCTTAACCAATCCTGCATGTCAGCTTTTTTAGAAGTTGACGTTGGTGCTTTATTTACCTGGACATTATGGTAAGGAGCATTATCAACAAGAATGACGCTTCTTGGAGGGAGGTTCGGAAACAGCTTTTCTTTCAACCATTTAGAAAAATTATTAAAATTTATTTCATCGTGGTAGTCTCCACTTTTGGTTCCAGATTTAAAAATTAACCGGGCATTCGGAATAAAGCCCATTTCACCTCCTGCGTGGACAATAATTAGTCTATCACCTTTATTAATTGGTTTCTTTAATCCCTTATTTGAATTATCACTCCAAGCTTTCTGGTGTGTGTGTGGGAGGCATGAATGTATGTTTCATCTAAGTAGACAATTGGACGGCCATCTGCTCGATAACTTTTTAAACGAATCAGATAGTCTAAACGTAGCTTTTGAATATCAAACCTTTCCATTAATATTTTTCTGTTTGTTTTTGTTTTCCGCCAACGAAATCCTAGCGACTTTATTATTTTTGTTAAACTTTCATAGCGTTCTTTGTACCCTGTAGCTTCTCTAAATTTAGTCAGAATTGTTTTTAATATTGGAACAATATTTTCCGAGATTAACATGAACAGAATAATTCTTTTTAAAATATTTTTGTCAGCTTCATCATTAACTGTTTTTGGTTTTTTAATGGTTTTTCTTGGTGATGAAAATTCCGATATCTCACGGTTATCGATTCTTTTTTTCTCTCCAGAAATGCGGACGACAGTGTTTTTAGATACTCGTGTGGCTGCAGCAACACGATCATTTACATTTTTAAATGGTATTGAAGGTGAATTAAAGTTTCCTTCTCTTCTCATAAACTCTATAACATTGGCTATTATTTCGCGAGATTGACTGTTAATCACGCGGCCTCTTAATTTGCTATTAAACTCCATACTTAGGTTCTATTAAACTGTAATGAGCAAAAAACACAAACGAAAATAAAAGAAATGTTTTAGCGAAATTTACATCTGACATTTACGTCTGAATAAAATAGTGAAATACTTGATGCGCAGAGTGTACTTTCATTGCGTAAATCCGTCGGCCCCGCCAACCGATGCCTCTCAGTAGTGCTTTCTCTGTCTAGCCGTCGAAAGCCTCTAGAAATTTGATGAACTGTACATCACCTATTTTAAAAAATATTCAATTTGAAATATCTTTATTTCTGTTAATTAATGTATTTTTGTTACGATTGCATTGCACCTAGCTATATTTGCCTTTATTATAAACTTAAGAGGCTTAAACCTAAGAGGAGCAAATAAAAGATTTTGTATTTAAAGTGTGTATGGGAGAAATTGTATAAACAATTTCACTTTATTTTAAGAATTAGTCAAGCGCCGATTGAGGTATCATCAGGACTCTAAAAAGAATTGTATACAATGAAGATACAAATTAAGTAAAAGTTAAGTTGAAATTACTCGTCAAAAAACCCGTAAGACAAGAGGAAATTCGAGAGTCGCTAAAATGGTGGTTCCCACCTTATCGAGACTGAGGCCCACAAGGGTAAACTCATAGCGTAATAAAAACAAGAAATGATTCAACTTGGAACGAAAAACCGAAAGCCGATAGTAGTATTAGGACGTTGAATTTTTTGGTTTGTGAAGCATTGGCATTAATAAGGTTAAACCTTATGATGATTTTCACAAGTCTTGATTTTTAAAACCATTCTATATCGCCTTTTAATTATGGTTTAAAAACTTGTTCGAGCAATTTATCCAATAATAATTGGCTCCTTTACCTCTTAAGCCTGCTCATGTAAAATATTTGGACTCCTTACTTCGCCTATTTATATTCTATTAATAAAGGATAGAAGGATGAGTATTGCAACTATGTTAAAAGAAATAAATTAAGTTTCAATTCAGAATTATGTTCAGTACATGACTGATATTTATTTATAAAATAAAAATGACATAGTACCATCTCCTCAGATCTATTAGAAAAAATTCAATATAATTCGCAATATCACAACCATAATACAAGAAGCCAATCTGACTTTCATGTACGGCAAACCATCACTAAAAGTTCCCAAAATACAATCTTTATTAAAGGTTTAAAAAATTTAATAGACTGCCTACAGAAATTAAAAAAAAAAAACAACAATAAATGTATTCAAAAGTAACCTCAAACAATACGTAAAAAATAAACAGAACGGATATATTTTCTTGTGGTAATACTCTTTAAACCTTTTTAAGTATTTTCCTTAATTTATTGTTATTTTACCCCTCGTTTTACCCGCATTTATTATAAATTATTTGTTTTGAGATCATAAACTTTATTTTAAAAAATTACTTGATATTATTAATACTACTTACTATGTTTAAATTATTAATAGTTTTGCGACGACAGGTTATTCGCGATTCAAGCTAAGTGATACGCCCTCTGGAGGAAATTAGTAGAAGGTCCCTATAAGTAGGATATCGTTCAGTGTTGCCAGATGCCAGATGCAGCAAAATTTCGTTACGTCGTCGGATTTTAGTTCTTGAAGAAATGGATAAGACCTTTCATTTAAAGATCAAAATTTGTGTCTAGTAATATGTAATCATACTCTATATTTATTTAAGGATTTTTTTATAAAATCGATTAATTATATTGATTTTTTTTAAAGTTCAGTTCATTTATTAATTTTGTTTTAAAATTAGTCAGAGACAAAATCAGTTCATCATTTGGCAACATTGGCGTTCGTGTTCATTGTTTACATTTTAATTTGTATCAATTACAATTCGAGTTTTTTCTTACTTTTTAGCTTTAAATTTGTTTATTTCTTATAGTATGTAATAGTGTTTAAATTAAAAATGAAATCTGCTAAAAAGTCCCTAGCAAATTGCAATATATATGGTGTTAATATCAAAATCAAAACTGAAGTACATATTCATTATTTTCCAAGTGCAAGTCATAAAATTTTGTTTCTTACGATAAATGGGTATCTACAAATTCACAATATTAAAATTTTGCAAAACTTTGTTTAGCATCAAACTGCAATCTGATTTGTGACGGTTTTATTACCATTTACATGTATACAAAGTACTAAAAAATTCACTTCATGATATAAGAATAAGGATAGTTAGATTTTTAAATAAGTTCATCAATAATAAACGTTTGGTACCTGATATGTCCTTTAAACCACATAATAAAACATGTCCTGGGTTTAGTAAATACATATTTCTAGATGTTCTTGTAGCAACCAATAGGTCAATATTTCCAACAAATTAGTTCATACTACACATGATAAATATTATATTTATACCGAAAGCACGAAAACTAAACTTAAATTAACACTAAATGAAACTCAAAAACACTATTATAACGACAATATTATCTAAAAAC